CTTTGAGTGCGGGTGAAAATTTCCACATCATCAGCTTCTGCCACTCTCTGCAGTCTGTGTCCACTTCACTTCTTGCTCATTGACGTCCACTGTCCACCTTTCCACTATTCAGCTTAAATTCAAGCTTCAGTCCTTGAACGTCCACCTATCCGCTTATTTCGCTAGCCTTTCAATCTTTTTTGTCAACCGTCCATTACTCTGTCTACATTAATTGCAAAGCTAAATCCACTTAGGTCATCCACGTTTCCACCACTATGTGCACCTCTACCTTCCACCTTATCCCTACTCGTCCACCGGGCTCACTACACCTTAATGTCCACCTATCCACTCAGTCCTTCCACCTTTCAAACTTTGCGTCAACCCTTTCTGTCCATCTTTCCACCGACCACCACTTAGACCACCTTCAACGGTCGCTTCTCCACCACTCTTTGTCCACTGTCCACTTTCCACAAACAATCCACTCCACTCCACTCGACTCCACAAAGTCCACCCAACAGCCGGCCTTTTCGACTTCCAAGCCCGAGCTTTCCTACTGGAGCCTCTCTGTCCGGCCAACTGCTGAACCAAACTCTGAACACGGATCGCCGCATCACGTGACGCCGCATCACACAGCAGTCACGCTGAGTCACGAACAGTCACGGTCACTCACAAGCGTCACCGCTGTCACGAGAGCCCCGGATGGTCACGTTTTGTCACTGAAGGTTGTGTTTCGGGTCATGTTTTAGAGTTAGCTTGGTCACGAGTCTATGGTGATCTTCTCCGTTAGTCGTTGTTTGACATTGACCGTACCAGTTCGTAAAGTCACGTGACTTGTCGGTCACGTCTTTGACTAGTCACGTGGTCAGCGGACTTGGAGCGGCGTCAGATTGACGAAGATCACGTGTTGGAAGCAGTGAAGCGAAGCAAGAGTCACTTGATGAATTGCACTGATTGTGACTCAGCAAATACGTCGGCAGACAGAGCTGAGAACTGTATGGGTGGATGAGAATAGTTGTTGTTTTGTTATTACACGGAAGTCGGAACCTTTAACCCTATTCCCGGCGGGCTCCGCCGGGACAAGAAACTGGCGGGGGGGCCGATTCGGCCCCCCCTTCAGATCTCAAAAACTACACATCGCAGCGACAAATGGCGAACGGCGTTTGATAGGTCGTTTAAAGATCTACAACTTTTACATAAAACATTTTCAGGTCAGGTCAATATTGAGGTCACCAGAGGTCATCAACGATAAAATGTTTTGGAATTAGTTACCCATATAACTTTTAAACTAAGAAACATAGAGACATAAAACCAATACATTTTTGTTGCTCTCGCCCAGGCGATGCGAAATAAGTATGTGATGACCTTCACAGGTCAATTTGAAATTTGACCTGAGGTCAAGGTCAGGTCATTCATCAATGAGGTTGTGGGGTATGGTCATGCTGCATACCAAACGACGCGCCTTGACCAGGCGAGCAGTTTTTTTTTCTAAGCCGCCGCCCATGATCAGACGACCAGAAGTGTCCACCCACTGACCCACGCGACAACAGCACCTTACGTTAACACCTCCCAAGACAAAATATGAAGAAAGTCGCGACACTCCCTGCTAAGAAAAAGGAAAGCAAACAAAAACAAAGCTAAATACAATACTTAGTAAGTTAGTAAATTGTCATAAGAAGAGGCAAAGAAGTCAAGACTAAATGTAGCTTGACTGGCCGCTACTCCATCCCCAAAGAAAATAGTGAGAAGGAGAGAGTGATCCAGGGGTTAGTGGTAATAAGCGCATGCAAAGCTTGCATTATTGAAGAGGGACAGAGCCTAGTCATACCCGGAGGAGTCAGATCCTCACCGAAAAGGGATACCGAGCTAAGCAAGCTTGTTGCTCGGTAGACAGTTTGGTACCACTTACAAGTCTTTAGCACCATCATGTCGTGATTTATTGACAGAAAAACGATTTATGACGTCACATGACCTCAGATGACCTTTGCCGGTGCCCCTGTCAATTAGCGGCACCAGAATCATCACCGATGAGATAATCTTCCATAATACTGAAAGAATTGGGTGGTTTTGACTCGTTTACACGAAGCAGGAGGCGTTTCAATATTTTCCCATAGGCTTGCAATGTAAAGGTCACGAGTCTGGCCTGACCTCAGGTCACAGATATGAAAATTCTGAGATATACAAATTGCATATACTTGTACCCTAACTAAAGCCTGAAGATAAGAAATTGATCGGTCAACAACTCTAGCTCTGGCGTGATTGCAAACTTTTCTGAGGTAGGGTCACCAAACCGCCTCTGGTGACCTGACCTGAGGTCAGATCAACTCAAAATATTCAGAAATGTTGCGTAAAAGCCTTTTGGGAAAAGTCAGAAAATTTGAGCTTCCTAGCTCAAAGCGTTTGGGAGAAATAACCAAAAAACCTCAGGGGGGGGGGGGGCTCCTGAGGCTCCCCTCCGCCAGGAATAGGGTTAAAGGCATCGATTTGTGTGATGCATGTCCGTTCCCTCGATATCTTTGCTAGCTACATGTGTACCTAATCGTTAAATGCTATTTTTAGGTGCTCCTGAATTATTTATTGGTGTGCTGTATTTTTATGTGTTTCTTGTAGACACTCGTGTCTCTAATTATCCTACTGGCCTCCTACTGTGTTTTAGTCCCATGTTGTTTTCAAAATCACTTCTAAAATCTATTAGGTACTATAGGTCTCATAGTTTATTACTATTCCTAGGCAGTACTTCTCCGATTCTCGCACCATGTTAAGCAGGTACTTTTGTACTCCCGTACTACCTCAACCATCTCCGGAACCTCCATAGTTACACTGGAGGCCAGCCCGTCAGCTCCTACCCACAAAAACACAACACATATTTTACACTCCAGTGACCACGAACTCTTGTAACTGAGCTCCTAACGGTAAGACTCGGACGGGCGACAATGATTGGCGCGGTGAAAAGTGCTGTCTGCGAGCTGCTCTGAATGCGTGATAACTGACGCGGTTAGCCATGCCTCACGGAGCCGTGCTTCAGGTGCTACACATGAGGTAAAATCGCGTAGGTACAGCCCTCTGCAGACTGTGTGGTAGGTATTCTTTTTTTTTCGCCAAAACCGATAATAACTCAAAGGCTAAGTTATCAGTCGGTCGGATCTCATTGCATATAGATGCGCCATGCTCCACTCCTTCGATTGGGTCTATCACGGAACAAAGTATACGCCTGGTGTAGCAACAAAATGCAAAAGTTCGTTTTGGGGGCGGATATAAACTTTTGTGTGTTGTTGCCAAACTAGATGGAAAATGTATACCAAAATAAGCCCAATCTAAGGTGCGGAGCCTCGTGCGTCTTGCTGTTACGATGTCCGAGTGACCGTTAGCATAGTATTCGCGTTATTCTCGGTTTTGTCGAAAAAAAAAGAATACCTACCTCAGTTTGCAGAGGGCTGTACTTGTGCCAGTGCAAGCCTGACCAGATAGGAGCAAACTGAGTCGGACTGGGAATTGGTTGCCAAAATTGGTTGTGGGCAAGTTATTCACGATCGCTATCATTGCCATGTCACATGTATGTTTTTGTGTCTAAATAAAGATATAGCCATTTATACTCGTAGCTGTTTTATTTTTCTCTGCGTTACCTAATACCTACCTACTTCTTTCATTGTTGACAAAGTAAGCCGACAGGTCAGATTGGTAAATGCACGTCAAACATCAGTCGCAATTTCACATATTACCGAACAGCAAAACACCCGTCAAGCTACCGTCACTTAGTGTCCATCAGACCAGGGCTACAGAGTCGATGGATTTTCGGCGACTCCGACTCCGACTCCGGCTTTCAAAAACCAACTCCGATTCCGTCTCCGACTCCGGGCAGGACTGTCGAATCCGACCGACTCCAACTCTCGACTCCGACTCCGCAGACCTGGCAGGGCTGCGGACTGCGGAGTCGACGGATTTTCGGTGACTCCGACTCCGACTCCGGCTCAGGTTTCCAAAATCGACTCCGACTCCGACTCCGGTTACAACTGTCGACTCCGACCGACTCCGACTCCGACTCCGACTCTGCAGCCCTGCTGATCAGAGTGGCGCGAAGATCAGCTAAGCTGGTCTGATCTTCATCTCGGTCTTCATGAGGTGTGTCAGACCCAGCCACGCGCCCCACCAGATTCCCCTGGGGTCGCCTCCAGGAGAGACATAGCGTCCGTTAACCCATATATGCATGAATTAATTTTTTGTCGAGTATTTGTATGAAACTTTCTAGCATTGTTAAACAACATGTTACTAAGCTGCTGACATCAACTGTTTTGTTTTTACATTTAGTGCTTGCCTGATATGCTCGTTCAAAGTGACGTACAAAAATGTACGTCTATGCCAGGTGTCAACAAGACAATTGTGACGTCTGCCGCCGCCGTCCTAAAATAATACATCCGACAGCCCTAATACAATGCTAACGTCTTTCGTACTTCAGAAGCGATGTATGAGGGATGGGTTGGGGTGGGGATGGGGTTGTGGAGGGGGTAGGGTGACGTCATGTCATCGTTAACCCGGGCGAGGGGAATAACTTGTGTTGTATGGTCAAATATGATGTATGATATGTTGTGTTGCATTAGAGACCCTTGGAAATGGTAGTTACAATTCATACGTTGAATTAGGAAATAGATGTAGATCATGTATGATGAAAATAAGGAAATTTGCAAAGCACAACTCGATTATGTCAACATTTACCGTTGTGGTGTTCTGTTACGGACTGGTGTCCCTCTTTCGTTCCGTACCGTACGAGTGTGCCAGTGTCACCTAGCGGCAGTTCTGTTAATTGCAGGTTGTGGGGGTGGCGCTGAGGGCGAGTGACGTGTCCGTAGGCCGGCCGGCGGGGCAGTCGGTTGGCGACGGTGGTCACGAATGGTGACGGTCTGTGCCGTGCGCGTTTTGAGTTCTTCCTTTAAACCGGACTGTATATATCGCGTGGGTGGTGCAATACACTACAGTGGCGACGAGGAACTGAGATCCTTCTGCGCTAAGTGATAACAGTGATCGCCGCGATGGACTGTTTGCGTGCGCCAGCGCCATTTCTAGTGGCGCCAGGACGGCCGACCACGCCCTGGTCCCAGTGGCTTGGCGAGTTCAGGATTTTCGCCGTGGCGAGTGGTTGGGACGAGTGGACTGTGCAGCGACGAGAGGCCCTCCTATTACACTGTGTGGGACAGGAGGCGCGGCGTCTCTATTTCGCGGCGGCGAAACCGGCGCAGGGCGTGGCACCGGGAGCGCAGGAGGCGGCGATTCCGGCGCAGGAGGAAGATGGCGTCAAGGAGGAAGGACAACCGACTGCAGCAGTCGACCCGGTGGCTGCGATCTCTGCAGTGTTTCAGCGGCTGTTTCCGGAGACACGAGCGACTCATTCCGAGAGAATGCTGTTCCGGCGGTGTTACCAGCTGGACAGGTCTCCAGCGGTGTACCTCACTGAGCTGCAGGACCTGAGTTCCAGGTGCGCCTTCGGCGATCTCCAGGAGCAGCTGATCTGTGAGCAGTTCATCGAGGGCTGCAGGGACGACAGGTTGAGAGGGCGGCTGTGTCGGGAGCCAGCTCTGACTGTGTTGCGCATCCTCGAGGTGGCAGAGGAGCTGGAGGTGGCTGCTGAGCGACAGCGGCTGGTGGGTGGAGGTGGAGCTACGCGGGCACCAACCTCTCCCCCGGCTCAGCTGGAGATAGCTGCAGTGACTGCTGCTCCCAGGAAGGGGGTCTCGCCGTGCTGCAACTGTGGCGGTCCCCACCGGACTGCTGATCCCTGCTGTCCAGCTCGTTGGAGAAGGTGCCACAACTGCCAGCAGAAGGGCCACTACGCCAGATTCTGCAAGGAACCACCTAAGAAGACGAAGCAGACCAAGAGGAAGCCAGTGAGGACTGTTGAAGTGCTGGCCGTGACGGATGACGACCGGAAGAACCTGTGGACCGAGCTGCGGGTGGACCAGCAGCCACTGCGGATGCTGGCTGACACTGGCTCGGCCGTGAGCATCCTACCGTTGTCCGTCTACAGGAAGCAGTTCCGCCATCTGCCCCTCCTGCCCACTGCAGTGCGCCTGGAGGCCTACGGAGGGTCATCGCTGCTGGTGCAGGGGGTGGTGCAGGTGACAGTGCAGGCGGAGAACGGCAACAGCTCCCAAGTTTCACTGTACGTGGTAGACGCTGGCGTGCCCCTGCTGGGCAGGGATCTGCAGGAGAAGCTGAAGTTGTCCGTGATTCACGGGGCGACTGTGTGTGCTATCAAGGAGGAGCAGATGCTAGAGGAGCTGCCGAGTCTCACTGGGTTCGTGCACAGGGTGAGACTGAAGACGGAGGTCAACCCAGTACAGCAGCGGCTGAGACCTCTACCGTACGCCGTGAGGGAAGAGGTGCGGGATCATCTGTTGAAGTTGCAACAGGCTGGAGTCATCGAACCAGTCGACGCATCCCCATGGATCTCTCCCATAGTGGTGTCCAGACGGCGGAACGGGAAACTGAGGCTGTGTGTGGATCTTCGAGAGGTCAACAAGGCGGTGGAAGCCAGCGGACATCCACTCCCCGACATGCAGGACATGTTGGAGCAGCTTCAGGGTGCAACCATCTTCAGCAGCCTTGACATGAAGTCAGCATACCATCAGCTGGATCTACATCCGGATTCAAGGTCGCTGACGACGTTCATCACCCATCAGGGACTGATGAGGTACAGGAGGTGTCCCTATGGGCTGAAGAGTCTGCCACAGGCGTTCCAGAAGGTGATGGAAGCCATCCTACGTGGTCTGGAAGGAGTGCAGGTGTACCTAGATGACGTCATCATCTACGCTGCGACCTCCAACCAGCACGAGAGGCGACTGACGGCTGTGCTGAAGAGGCTCAGGGAGCACCAGATCACGCTCAACATCGAGAAGTGCAAGCTGAGGAGAGAGCAAGTGGAGTTTCTGGGGTTCATCATCTCCAAGCAGGGGGTGGCAGTGAACCCAGACCGCATCAAGGCTCTCCGAGAACTGCGAGCACCTGCTAGCCTGAAGGACCTGCAGGCCATGCTTGGCTTGTTCGGCTTCTACAGCCGATTCGTGCCGGCGTACAGCACGCTAGTGGAGCCACTGCGGTGTCTGCTGAGGAAGGGGGCGCCACCCTTCCAGTGGACTGGCGAACTTCAGGCGGTGATGGACGACGTCCGGCAGCGGATCCTGGGCAGCAGAGCGCTGGCCATGTACGACCCAACGCTGCCGACCCGAGTCACCACAGACGCCAGTGACGTGGGATTGGGGGCCGTGCTCTCTCAGGCTCACCCGGACGGAGAGAGAGTGGTGAGTTTTGCATCATGCAGTCTCACCCCAGCTCAAAGAAGATACAATGTCACGGAGAGAGAGGCCCTGGCATGTGTGTGGGCCGTGGAAAAGTGGCGGAAGTATCTCTGGGGTAGGCCGTTTTGCCTACGAGTCGATCACGCGGCTCTCCAGACGCTGATGACGTCACCGGGGGTGGGCCGAGCCGGCCTACGGGTGGCACGGTGGGCGTCACGTCTCATGGCATACGACTTCACCGTGGAGCATGTCAGAGGCGGTGACAACCCAGCTGATGGCCTCTCACGACTGCCAGGAGCAGAGGAAGGCGAACTGGATGATGATGTCGTGGCGGTGGCGGCGGTGACTGCCCAGCTCGGAGCAGTGCAGCGGGACGAGCTGCTGGAAGCGACACAGACTGACCCAGTGCTGTGCCAGCTGGTGCAGCAGATCCCACGGCGGTGGCCGCGACGGCGCCGCGACTGCCCGGCAGAGCTGCAGCCCTTCTACAACTGCCGAGAGGAGCTCAGCCTAGTGGGAGACCTGGTCGTCCGTGGTCAGCGGGTGATCGTGCCGGCGGCGCTGCGGACGAGGATGGTGTCCCTGGCTCACGAAGGACATCAAGGGATCGTCCGAAGTAAGCAGCGGGCTCGTGACATCTACTGGTGGCCCAAGATGGACACGGACATAGAAGAGGCGGTGAGAAACTGCGACGTGTGTGCCGACGTGGACAAATCGGCTCGGACTCGCAGTGCGCCGCTACACCCTGTGCCGCTGCCAGGAGCGGCATGGGAGAAGGTGGGCGTGGATTTTATCGGTCCAATGGAAGCGCGCCGCCAGCACCAATACGCAGTAGTGCTGGTAGACTACTTTTCCAAATGGATAGAAGTCGGCTTCTGCACAGAACCCAGCACGGAGGCGGTGGTGCAGTTTCTGGAGACGTTAGCATCTCGAGAAGGTTACCCGAAGGAGCTGGTGTCCGACAACGGGACACACTTCACCTCAGCAGCGTTCGCAGACTACCTGAGGAGTGTCGGCACGCGCCACATCCGCGTCACGCCGTACCACCCTGCCGGGTCAGGTGCGGTGGAGCGTGCGAATCGCACTGTGAAAAGTGCTCTCCAGGCGGCGGACCGGAGCGGCGAAGATCGAGCGTGTTATCTGCAGAAGTTTCTGCAAACGTACAGGAGCACGCCTCACGCCACGACGGGGCTGAGTCCAACCGAGCTTCTGCACGGACGGAAGCTGAGGACACGTCTGCACGCGGCGGCTCTTCCCACGGAAGAACCGCAAGATCGTGAGCTGCGAGACAGAGTGCAGAAGAGGCAGAAGAAGCAGAAGAGGTACGCTGACGAGCGGCGTGCAGCTGAGACACCACGGTTCCAGGTCGGCGACTGGGTCCGGTGCCGGCTGGTGCCGCGTCCCAAGAAGGGACGGCCACGGTACTCCGAGCCGAGACGGGTGGAGTCTCGCCTGGGACCAGTCAGCTACAGGCTAGATGACGGTTCCCGGATCCACGCAGAGCGGCTGACGACAGCTCGGGCGCCGCAGCAGTCTCAGGCTGAGCTGCACGTGGATCAAAGCGGCCAGCCGGGGGCTGGTCAGCGGAGTGCGGTGTCTCCGACGTCTGTGCCTCGCCGCGGGGAGCGGCTGGAGGCCGACGACTGGCGGCACGCGGAGGACGACGTGCCACTGGAGGACGGACAGGCTGTGTCACTGGGGGTCGGCCGGCGACACACCGAGGCCAGCCGGGGTCCCGCGGAGGACGGCGTGGCTGTGTCACCGGAAGACGCAGAGGACGCTCGGGAGCGGGAGGCGTCACCTCCGGCGACGGAGCGGCAGGCAGAGCAACAAGACGCTGGCGTGCTGCTGTCGCCGCGCGAGGCAGCGAGCGGTGCTGGGCTGGTGGCGGTCGAACCTGCTCTCCAGCCGGGCGCGAGAGTGAACTCCGGGACGCAGCCGGTGAGGAGGTCCCAGCGTACGAGACGTGCGCCAAATAGACTCTAACTTTTTCCAGGGGGAAGAATGTGGTGTTCTGTTAAGGACTGGTGTCCCTCTTTCGTTCCGTACCGTACGAGTGTGCCAGTGTCACCTAGCGGCAGTTCTGTTAATTGCAGGTTGTGGGGGTGGCGCTGAGGGCGAGTGACGTGTCCGTAGGCCGGCCGGCGGGGCAGTCGGTTGGCGACGGTGGTCACGGATGGTGACGGTCTGTGCCGTGCGCGTTTTGAGTTCTTCCTTTAAACCGGACTGTATATATCGCGTGGGTGGTGCAATACACTACAACCGTCTACTGAAAACTTGTCTTATGTACATAATAGTCAACATAGTAGATCTATAAAAAGAGCACGTTGTCAATGGCGATCAGGAGGCGTTCTGCTGCTGGCCACCGACGCGGTGACCCTGTGAGTGTGCTCCACTGTGGCAGTTACAGTCCGGCGCCCGGCGCGCTCCATGCTGACTACCTGACTGCAGAGCTTCTTGAGGAGACAGAAGATGTAGCCGTTCCGCTGGGGGCCTTCGCCCAGGACGTCTGCCTCGTCCACGCAGCTGACGCGTCGGTCGTCGTAATGGCACCACCTGTCCCGTCCCACACTGTACACGTCAGACACTGTCCCGAGCGCGTGGCCCCGCTGTAATGACTAAAGACGGCCATCAGCCGGACGTAAAGTCGCCGGCATGGTCAACGGAGCAGAGCGACTGGTCGCCCTCGACTTAGAACTCGGAGAGGTGCGTGTGTCCAGGGGCGTCGGCCGGCTCTTCCTTCCCCAGTGACGGCATGATGGTCTCTTGGAACTCGTGATCCTCGACCACGTCCATCCAGCGGATAACAGCCGCACTTCAGCCGTTGTTGGCACTCGTAAATGCTTCGATGGTCTGATTGGACTTCTTCTTGAAGGCGTTGATGTCGGTGAACTTGTTCGCCTTCAGAAGGCGATTCCCTCACATGGTACCCGTGCCATGGAACTGGCGCTTCTGGATCTCTGCTGCAAAACCGATCATCAGGGTCAAGCTTGGTGCTGCTTTGGAAGTGACATACATCCATTATCATCCCGAACCGGTTGAGCCGGTGGGTGCGACCAGTTACGGGCTCAGTTACGTCTTTACGGCTCAGTTACGTCAGTTACGGCTCAGACCAGTTACGTCAGGCGGGCTGGGTCAGCATTCTCTTCGTCGCTAGAGTCTTCGTTTGTGTCGACGCGAACTTCCGGCGGCTCTAGGACGACGACCGTGACATCGGCGACTCGACTTCGCTCCTCGATGCCATCCAGAACAGGGCTGCGGAGTCGGAGTCGGAGTCGAAGTCGGTCGGAGTCGACAATTCTGACCGGAGTCGGAGTCGGAGTCGATTTTGGAAGCCGGAGCCGGAGTCGGAGTCAGAATCACCGACAAACCCATCGACTCCGCTGACCTGGCAGGGCTGCTGAGTCGGGAGTCGGAGTTGGAGTCGGTCGGAGTCGATAGTTCTACCCGGAGTCGGAGTCGGAGTCGGAGTCGGAGTCACTGAAAATCCATCGACTCCCGCAGCCCTGATCAAGAACATCGTTGAGGCTCACATTTGCCATCAAACCAAAGCATAAACGTGTTTGATGTTTGGGAAACAAAATGTAACGGATATGCATAGACGTACATTATTGTACGTGCGTTTTTGTGAAACATACTATTTTTGGATTCGCTTGGTAAGCAAAATTAGCATTATAATGACACCACTCATGAAGTTAGGGTCATGCTTGAGCAGATTGCTGGCAACGAAAGCTAAGCCGGGAAAAGCACTTAACTGTAATTAAGAACACTTGGCTCACCCTGGATCGAGCGTCTGAACGGGTGAAAATCTTCCCGTTGCGACATCAACAAACCGAATGTCTCAAACTCAACACTGAATGCATTGGAACCGTGTTTTTTGGTATTCACCTGACGGCTAACAATGTAAATGATTTAGAACGACCGCGTTTGATGGCTCATTAGCTCTATTTCTATAAAGATGGCACACATTGGTCACCTCAAATTGACGTACATTTATGTACGTCTATGCATATATGGGTTAAGGTTGCTCAGCCCGCAGCTCCCGTACCACCAGGCACCCTGATATTCGTGGGCGCAGTTGGTCTCCGCGTCTTCCGGGATCCTGTCGTGGGTCGAGAATGTGCTGTTGACGCCGTACTCCAGACCATCGCCGGCATCTCCTGAGTAGTTGGATACACTGAGCCTGTATCCGTCCGACTCTGAAGAGACGCTGAAGTTGGTGTAAACGGCGAAAGCTTGGTCACCATCGAAGGCGTCGAGGTCCACTCTCAGTACGTACTGCCGATCTGAAACGGAAGTCAGGTGCCAGACGTGTTCAAGTCCCCACCAGAACTCCCCAGTCAGTACTCCGAAGCCTGTCTTGTAGTCGCTCCAGCCGCGGTAGAAGTCCTTGCGCGGTCTGATGTCGTCTCTGCGCTGGATGACCGTCCATCCTCCTCCGTCTGTGTCCATGTCACAGCGAGCCCGCACTGGCCGGGAGCGGTCGGGGTAGACGAGGTAGGTTGCCGTCGGCGAGTCTTCCGGCAAATCGCTGCAGTCGCGGGGATGTAGCAGGCTGTCTGACGAATTTTGCTCGGTCTTTTCTTGAGCGGGCTGTGAGCTCAGCTCAGGCGACTGAGATTGCTGAATAATAGCTGTGATTTTGGAGAACTCAGATTCATGGTCGTAAATACGGTTAGCGAGCTTGTCAATCAGTGAGCTTTGAATTTCCAGCTCGCTTTCGAGCTTGGCTTGCTGGCTCTTTTGATTGTAAATTTGTTTATACATCAAATCGTACAGCTCATCGGCGTTCGACCGGAGTTGAACCACCTCTCCTTCCAGTGACTCTACTCGAGACTCGAAGCTCCTCTCCAGCGCCTCCACCCGCGACTCCAGTCTACTGACGATTGAGCGCATTTCTTGCTGGACCACCTGCGCTAAATCCTGGTCGCCAGTAGTCTGTTGATGTTGCTGTTGCTCCTCTGCAGTGGCTATCGCACAGATCACAACCAACCACCAGAGCACCGTAGTTTTCTGCCGCCAGGCCGCCATTCTCCCACGAGGAGCCTCTCCAAGATCTGATCAGAGGAGCTACGCTAACTGCGGGCCACCAGTGACTGAGATCTTTCTGTGAGCTCTCCACTGCGGGGACTGCCGTGGCGCCGGAGACTGATATGCCACGAGTGCGCCAGAGCTCTGTGAGAATGATCACTACCAGACGAGCCCTGTATGCTAACAAATCCAAACGTTGAGGCCGCTTTAACTAAACATCGGAAGTGCGTTAGTGAGGTTTTGTAATCTGTGGTCATCACGGATGGGTGAAGATCGGTGGACTGTGGTGGTGTATGTACATTTCTGTGACACATCTAACGGAAGATGGTGTCTTGTATAAGACTTGGTTACAATACATGATGAACTTGAAGTTTTGTGTGTGTAGGGTAGGGGAAGGAGGGTGAATTGCGCCACCTTAAGGAAAAACGTTAATTGCAAGAAAAGTGCTGGAGATATAAGCATGCACTGGTAACCATTTCAAAGGGGAGCTCATTGGCTACGATTTAAGAGCCTCCCGATCAATTAAGAATGTTTCGTTTGCTTCTGACAGCTGCTTTTTCAGAAGCATGAAAAAGGGCGCATTTGCCAACAACCGCTGTAAATTGCGCCAGGGGGATGGCGCAATTAGAACCCAATTGCGCCCTATACTTTAACATGGCTAAGTGAATGAGACGGAATGCATACACCCCGGCAATCTAATGTCATTGCGGCTTACTTAAACATTTATAATGTTATTCAGGCTGGATGAATAATAAATGTAAATATAAATCGCGATGTTTTTTGCCCAGGTAGATAACTTTACATGTGTCCGTACGCTTGTAAAAGTGCAACGAAAACGTTTACTGTAACCGACTAGATATATGTGAACTTATGCGCCTATACAGTTAAATTTTCAATCGGTTCTCTCAAAATTAATAATTTTTATCGTTTTGACAACTTAATGACATCAGTTTTTACTTTTTTATCATAGCTGTCACTTCTCACGCCTGAGTCCATGTTGAAAATGTCGTATTTTGTCAAGTACACCACAAGTCGTAGCCTAAATGGCAGTTGCATTATAAGTTTGACGATAGAGATAATTTGCGGACTGACGACAGCGGGCTGCTCCCTTGCCTGACATTAAACTCCTTCTTTATTGCAATCAGTTAATGATGCATTCATACTGTCGTGATACAATGGCTTCACCATTATTCTATTTGCGCCCCCCTGGCGCAATTGCCATGGGCGCAATTAAAATTGAGGTACTTTTTAATAAAAGCATAGAAGTTATCATTAAGATGTTGCAGGAAGTTTACGGTTTCAGTGAAATACAATGAAAAAAGGGTTTTTCTTTCTAAATATCACTCTGAAAATCACACAAATAACGTAAATTTTTATAGCCAACGGTTCAAAGTACTGCAAAAAAGTTAAGAAAACGCCATAACATTTTTGATGGCGTAGTGAGCTTTGCTGATTGGCTTCATCGGAGTGTTTGGGCCATAAAATGAACAATCCAGTGGTGAAAACAATGTTTTCGAACACAAAATTATAAACATGCCATTGAATCCGTGGGAATGTTGGTGGGCGCAATTGGTTAGGAGGGCGCAATACACCCACTTTCCCCTATAGTGGTGCCAGTTAGGTACAGAAAATCGGAATACCGATACCAAACCAAATACCAACCAAAACCACGTGAGAATACCGAAACCGAACCAACTTGGGAATATGAGGGAAATACAAACTTTTTACCAAATTTACAGCCTCTTATACATTATTGAAGATTGATGATACCAACAAAATACCAAAAACATTAGGATTGTAATACCAAATACCTGATACCAAGTTGGTATGGTTTGGTATCGGTATACCAAAACGTTGGTATCCGATTGACATCTCTAGTCGGGTAGAAGGTGGTAAGACGCTCAGTCCGACCACCCCAATGGTCGTGTAACCCCTAACATTGAATGTGAGATGTAAAATTGGCCATAAAACATATAGCATAAATTTAAATTTAGTTGACCACACGACCCTAGCATAGTTGGGTTAATATTGTGATCTGACCTCTGTGACCTGACCTGGCATAAGTGACCTTCTAAGCAGCATATGTATAAGGCGACCAGCGCTGCATAGATGATTTTTGATAAGATGCCTTTTGTTTGATGTTATAACGCATTCCTTAGAAGGCGTACCATATTTATTTTCTAAAAATGGCATTCAGAGTGTTAAACTAAGGTCAATATCAAGTCTACCCATCACAATTATATGTGCACTGGTTTAGTGGTTATGAACAACAGACATTCGTCCTGAAGAACACGGAAATATTATGGCAAATTCAAGTGGACAAATTATGTAACTTCCTCGACCTATCAATTTTTAAATTCATTATGAAGATAATGAAAGTGATTAAAATTCGCGCATCTCTGACTGGTTTCAATGTCTTTCTGTTTGTGACCAATTAGCTTAGGGGGCATCAATTATTTGAACAAGCGGCTGTCACCTATTGATAATATCTCTTCAAACCTTTCCTTTAGCAGTAATAACTTAATTGCTGAGCCCACGACCTGTTTGCCTCTGAACGCACTGTCATTTGAGCCCAATTACCCTCCAGTCCAGTGCCGTGGCTGTAGGAAGCGGGAACTGCAGTTCCTCCCCCGGGACGGTACAGCAACTGGAGCGGTTCCAATAAAGCAGTGGCGGCCACACCTGACCACCCCACTCTCAGCCATGGCTCGAACGGACGCCGTCCCGCCGCTGCCGCTGATGACGCCGCTGATGACGCTGATGACCATGATGACGCTGATGACGCTGCTGACGTCAGCGGCCGCGGCTCTCTACGGCTGGCAGCAGGCGGTGACCCTCTCCGGAGCGCACGTGCAGGCCACCACCGCACCGTCAAAGACCACCTGTGGGATCAAATGTGAGGCCCAATACCTCCACGATTGTACCGGCTTCAGTTATGAGCCGGATGACGGCACGTGTCGTCTGCTGTCTGGAGGCTGCCCCGGTCCGGCCGTCGATGGACAGCAGGGCATCTATTTGAGTGCTCTGCGCCTTCCAGGTAAGAATGTTTGGAAACCTTATATTTGGTGTGATAGATGTGTGATATTTACCCATGCAAATTAGCGTTCAAAGTTAGGAATTAGCTGTAAAAACCAATGTCTGGTAGACTGGATGCTTGTTAACCCTCGCCCGTATTGGTCTTTTGTATTGGTGTTTTAAGTGTAAAACTGGTTTACTCGAGGGTTCTGAAAATGTCGAGATCGGCCGCTTTTCAGCGAATTATTCACGATAAACCGAGGCAGAAGATGTCCGTTCGATTCCCCCTCCCTTTCATCCTGTGTATAAGTGTTAAGTGCGAGGTTTGAATACGAGTGTAATTTTGTTCATTATAAACGGTGTTACATTTTCAATTATTATTATTTTTTGTTAAAAACGTTCATTCCAATTTAGTTGATTGTTTCATCATAAGGTCTTTGCAAGAAAAACACATATTTTATTTATCATTCTATCCAAAAAGGGATATGATTTCCAACTGACAACATCCATAAAATAAACGCCTAAAAGTATTATAACCCGCGCCCTAGTGGCGGTCTCAGCCAACTTCGCCATAGTGGGGGGGGGGGGGCATATGTTGTCACCCACCTCTAACTCAAAAACTAAGAGGGCTAGAAAGACACGGTAAAAAGCAGTCGATAGCTCTCAATGCGTACGTTTGAAAGTATTTCGGTCATTTTTCATCTTAGAGCAATATTGGGATCACCAGAGGTCATCGAAGGTCAAAATTTGCCAAACTTCATTATACCTATTTGTCAGAAAACTTGCCGTTATCTCAGGAACCACGATAGCTAGAAAAACACATGAAAAGCAATCGATAGCTTTTGAATTCTTCTTTTGATAAGATCATTATCAAAATTTACCTCAGGTCAACGGTTAAGCCTCCATAGGTCAAACATTGTGAAAATATGTGAAAAGCGATAATGTGAACACATATATATTGCACAAACCGGTTTCGATATCACTTCATCAGTGTGCAAATATATAAATAAAACACACAAAATACAAAACGGAGACGAAATAGGTACAGCACGTACAGCAGAGCAAATTAATTTCAAATACATTCATATGACCTCATGTGATTGAGATCCCAAGACGCTTCCGCACCAAAAGAACGGCTAAACTTTTTCCCAAACGTATGTCACCAGCTTTGGAATTTACACACAAACAAGATTCAATGAGGGACGATTCAATCGTTTTTCTATCGGACCTACTTAACCTATCTCGTATGATCTCAGTGCGATCCCAATCAGGTAAACTACCACACTTTTCGGCATGTTTCACCATTGCATTGTTAATGTTGTGGTTCCTAAAATCTCTCTTGTGCTCCATTAACCTGTTCTTAAGCCCTCTCGACGTTTCACCGAAATAAGGCTGTGTACACCCCTTGCACGGTATTTTATACACTAAACTTGTTTCACTACGGTCACACTTTTTCTTTTTTGCTACAACCTGACCAATCTTCTCCCCAGCCTTTTCCACAATCTGAATATCGGAGCACTTCAACATCTTTGATAATGCTTCACAATTCTGTGACCTGGGTACAACAACTATAGCGTTCTTTGTCTTTCCGTTTGTTTCGTTTCCCGTCCTATTCTTGATCCTTTTTGCCTTATTATAGCATTCAATTATAAATGCCCTGGGGTACCTCAAACCTCTAAAAACGTCAGTGATATGATCACATTCTTCCTTCAGATTTTCGGGACTACATATTCTCATCGCTCTGAGGAAGAATCCAATCACTACCCCCGATTTCGTTCTCCTGCTATGGGCTGAAAAGAAATGAATATAGTCCTCTTTGTTTGTGATTTTCCTATACACTTTGTATCTGATGCCGCTAGGCGTCCTCTCAATATGTACATCTAAGAAAGGTAAAGTATTGTTAGTTTCTTCTTCTAATGTAAACTGGATCCTCCTTTCCACAGCGTTCAGCTCAGCTAACTTTTCACTAAGATCAAGATTGTCTG